ACATCACAAAAGGAGACCAAGAAAGCCAAAACACTTCTACCAAAAACAGGGGTAATGACAAGAAACGTGGGTTCTAAGAAGGCTGCTAAGAACCCGCTCAACAAACAAAAATTAAAAGAGGCCATCTCCAAATCTAAGAGATCAGAGGCTCAGTCTATGAGTGAGTTCTCCGACTTCTCTGACGAGGAGACTAATAAGGAGGTAACACCACCAACTTCACCTCCAAAAGGCAAATCAGCCATAAAACTAAAGAGGGATACCTTCACAAAGAATGCTGCCTCAAACACATAATGGATTATAAAATAATCCAATGGAACTGTCGTGGTTTTCACAACAAATTTTATGACATTAAACACTTGACATCATCTACCTCATCTATCTGCATGGCACTCTAGGAAACCTATCTGAAACCTGGAGAGAGAATTACTTTAAAAGGATTCAATCTCTACTGCAAGGATGATGATAGACACAACCGTGCCAGTGGCGGCGTGGCTATTGTAGTTTCAAACCACATCCCATCCTTGCCGGTACAAATAACAACTGATTTGCAATCTGTGGCAGTCAGAATTTCTGTCGGAGTGAATGTCACAGTTTGTTCTACATACTTGCCACCAGATGTCAGAGTCAATGAGGATGAATTGGACTCATTAGTTGAACAGCTGCCAACTCCATTTCTTTTACTGGGTGATTTCAATGGCTACAATCCGATGTGGGGCAGTCCCGACATTAATCGTCGAGGCAGGACCATTGAAAGATTCATAGGCAATCAACAACTATATTTATTTAATACGGGAGAAGTGACATACTTCCATGCCCCAACAAGAACGTTCACTGCCATTGATCTATCCTTAGCAAGCCCAAACTTGTTTTCAGCATTTACATGGGAGGTTGGATCTAATCCACTCTCTAGTGACCATTTCCCAATATTTCTAAAATAGCGAGGCAGAGAAAGCTGTGAAACAGCTTGTCCACCATGCTGGAAACTGGAAACGGCAGATTGGCCTGCATTTTCCTCTTTGGCTAACATCACTGAGGAATTTTCATTTTTTTTTAAATTCTTATAATCCTTATGAATGCAAAATATGTAAATGTCAAACTAATTTAAACAAAAAAATAAAGAAAATTAAATCAATTTTGTCTATTATAAACATCAGTTAGTTACATCTCTGTACTCTGACATCTTGTGGTCATAATTGCACATCAACAGAACAAATGTCACTTATAAAGAAATTCTTTTTCACTTTCTTCTGGACTTTACTGTGACTAGTGGGAATGTATACTACTAATTGGACTGCACACTGTGTTAACGCCGTACCACTTTAAGCATATTGGTGGTTATTGTGTTTGCTGGACTTTAGTTGGTGCAGTAGTATACTCGGCATCTTTGTGTACATTTTCTTGTGGCTGACACTCTGGGTAATCCTATAGGTTCTACTGGTGGAGATATACTTGACGCACTGTCACTGTTTCTCTGTGGTAATACCTGGTGGAACTATTTTTGTCATGCTACAACAGTTCGTGTTTGAACTTAATACACGTTATTACATTTATTGAGTTTACTGAAACTGGAAGGAGCTTACATTTTTCTACTGGACTGTTTTCTGCATCAACTCTACATCAATCCATGCTTTGTGGTGTACTTGTGTATTATATTATGTGTTCTATTCTTGTGCACCATT